CTCCAGAATCTAGTAAGCCTAGGATTTTCTTACCATTCACAATTAACTCAAGGGTCGGACATTGATCAAGGTCTAAAGCTAGGAAAGTTAAGTTCGATCCAGTGGAATCAAAGCCTCCCTCTCCTCTCTCTCTGGTTTGAGCTGGAAACTTATCATGTAAACTTGGCAAAAGCAGTAGCTGTGCTATCCTGTCTCCAGGAGAAATGGCTGTAATCCCTCTAGGAGATTCTACCACGATCTTTACTACACCCATGTAATCAGGATCTATAACTCCAGGATGTACTCGTAAGCCTTTCAATGCTGCAGATGATCTTCCTATAAGCAAACCTACTGTGCCAGGCTCAAGGGGTCCCTTAAAATCGGTGTCAACAAGCTGGACCCCCATTCTGGGAGTTAATACAAGTCTGGTGGTGGATCGGAAGTCCAGCCCCACGGAGCCTGTAGTGGATCTCCTCGGTCTCTCAGATGTCGAAGAGAAGGCCAGGTTTCAGGACTCTGCTCTGGTTCTGATCCTCCATGGCCCCATGTATTTGTGGGCCCTGGGGTCGTGGGCCCCATCATCCATTTTTTGGGCAGGCTCCTCCATACCCCTGAACAAGAGGCTGTCCACTGATGTCTTTTACTGATCTACAATCCTTAGCCCAATGATTTCCTTTTCTATATCTAGGGCATAAGCCAGGTTGCTTAGGGTGTGGGGTAGAGATATTGACTGTATTATTTCCTCCTTCTGGGCATTGCTTTCTCAGATGCCCTTGCTTGCCGCATTTAAAGCAAGCTCCTGAACTTCCACCTTTCTTAGTTAATTGCATCACAGCAGCTGCTAGGCCAGTATTGGTCAGTGGGCCCCCTAACTCCCTACAGACCTTCATCCAGACCTCAAGGCCTTTACCCTTATATGGAGTTGTTGCAGCACTACACTCCTTTGTACATTGTTCATAAATCAGCTGTTTGATCAAAGGCATAGCAGCATCTGGATCCCCAAACACTGGTCCTGCAGATTCTACCATTCTTGCCACAAAGTTTGAAAAGAGTTCCATAGGAACTTGTAATATCTTTGTAAGATTTCCACTGACCTCACCTCTGCCTCTGGGGGGGGGGACCCCCAACCCCAAAGAGCTCTATTGTTTATCTTATATCAC